CCTAAAACCAGCCTATAACCAAAACGACCTGATTAAACACGTTGCACTATTAACAGATCCGATCTACAATTAGCCCGTTGGACAAACCTTAAAAAGCAGCATGACACAGCTCAATGGAGGGAGATAGAAAAATTTATCTGCATTAATATTATTGCAGACCAAGTACACCTTGTAATGGCAGTGGGCTCCTTCAGCAAGATAATGCACCTTGCCACACGCTTACAATAATTAAATACGAAGGCCTGAGAGGTCTACGCACTGCAAATTAAGAGAGCCCATACACACACACACAAAACAAAACAAAACAAACTTAAAGGTTCACTACACATGAGCAGGATTTACATATGTAGCCCGAGTAAAATGGTTGCCACACGGGACACAATAACTGGGGTCTTCGCAGCTTCGATGTCCAGCAGGTCGGTTTATTTACACACAAAAAGACATGGAGTAGCCAAAAGCAACGGGTAACAAAATAAGGCGGTGGGCTATCCCGCCAAAAAGCTCAGTCCAACGTAAAATAAGGAAGGGACCACAATGCATTTGGTCAAGCTCTGACGGAATGTACACATCTCAGTCCGTACTGCCATCTAGTGGCCAAGATACTAGGTGACATTAACACTCCAATAGCCCACCGAAGGTTACTTTTACATAACATCACCAAAATTGAACTGTGCTACATTAACATGAAAACCATAAACATTACATGACAATTTGAATGTTGAAACCCTTTCGGGGACCTTTCGCCATCAGTGGAAAACAACTTAGTTATTTATTTATCTCCCCTTAGTATATGTTTACCACCCGGCTACACATAAGACGTAGCAAATACGGGAAATACAACCAAGTACAAAAACGCAGCTAGGAGCACATATTACAACGGAAGTAGTTGTTGGGTGGTGCCTAAGTTTGATATTAATATGGGACAGCGCGTATGAAATGACAGTGAATGTGACCGCGTCAGAAGGTGGGTAGTAACGAGTTACATTTACTCCATTTACTTGAGTAAATTTTTGAAACATATTACTTCTATGAGTAGTTTTACTGCACCATACAAACTTTTACTTGAGTAGATTTGTGAAGAAGAAACGCTACTCTTACTCCGCTACATTCGGCTAAACTCGACTCGTTATTTTTCTAACCATTTATTCTACACATTACATATACTTTATTTTTGCCAGAGAAATGCAGCCAGTGGATCTACCACATGACTCCATTTGACCAATCAGCCGCAGTGGAAAAAAAAAATCACATGTAGTCACATGACTACATACAAACTGGTAGCATAGCGGGAAATAATGTTCAGCTGTAGTAGACAGGGAATGAAAACAAAAAATTGGCTGAGGCATCTCTCTCCAATGCTACAAAAGAAGAGGATGAACACCCCTGGCCTCATATACAAAGCATGTTTCGCTTACGCACAGTGCAAAAGAACAGCTTTATAATCAGAATCAGAATCAGCTTTATTGGCAAGGTGTGTCAGACACACCAGGAATTCGATTCTGGTACATCGGCTCACAATGTGCCCCATGCAAGGGGCAAGTAAACAGTAAACCAACGTAAGGCTAGTATAACATAATAAGCAGTATTAACAGCAACAAACAATGCAAAATAAACAGTATAACTAGGCAGTAAATAATGCAGACAGACAAAGGAATGCTCATTGTGAAATGAGATAAACAGGAATAACAGAGTACTTAAAAAAAGAGACCTGCACGGATCTGTATAGTCTATACAATGTATATTTACAGATATTGAACTGAGGGTTATTGTCCAGTCATACTGTCATGGCTCAAATGTTCATCAGAGTGACAGCCTGGAGGAAGAAACTGTCCTCATGCCTGGCTGTCTTGGCGTACAGTGACCTGTAGCGCCATCCAGAGGGGAGTTCGAACAGATTATGTCCAGGGTGTGAGGGGTCTGCAGAAATCTTCTCCGCCCTCATTTTGACCCGTGAGGTGTACAGGTCCTCCATGGAGGGCAGGCTTACAACATTGACCTTTTCTACAGTCCTGACTGTCCACTGAAGTCTGTACTTGTCCTGTTTGGTTGCTGAGCCAAACCAGACAGTGCTGGAGGTGCAGAGAACAGACTCGATGATTCCTCTGTTGAACTCTATCAGCAGCTCCTGGGCCTGCTTGAACGTCCTGAGCTGGCGCAGGAAGTACATCCTCTGCTGTGCCTTCTTGATGATGGTCCTGATGTTGGACGTCCACTTCAGGTCTTGGGAGACAGTGGAGCCCAGGAACTTGTAGGACTTTACTGCTGATACAATGCTGCCAAGTGGTGGGGGTGCTCTTCCTGAAGTCCACTGTCATTTCCACTGTTTTGAGCATATTCAGCTCCAGGTTGTTGCAGCTAGAATTTGAAATGCCAGAATCTGTACATTATTTTATCATTTTGTCTGGCTGCTTACATAATTTCTAAAAAAATAAACCGGACATTACTATTACACAGTTACTCAGTACTTGAGTAGTCTTTTGACTGAATACTTTTTTACTCTTACTCGAGTAATATTTTGGATGACTACTTTTTACTTCTACTTGAGTAATATTATTTTGAAGTACAGCTACTCTTACTTGAGTACAGTTTTTGGCTACTCTACCCACCTCTGGCCTGTTAAAATGTAATTCCATGGTTCATTTAACAGCTTTAACACAAAAGAAACCCTTGTCTGTGCACATGTACATAGTTTTTTTGTTGTATACATGCCAGAAACGTGGTCAGTTGCACTACCTAACATAGCAGGACATCAGACTGTCAGTCTTGACCTCATTTGCCATTGGCTGTTCGTTCAATCAACGTCAATCAGAATAGTGCTAAGGTGGGACAAGTAGGACGAAGCAAGAGGATAAGAGTAAAACTACCGGAGAGTTTTCTCGTTACCTGGTGAATGCAAAGTTTGCCGCTGTGTAACGGGAGATTTCTGGAGGTAAATGCTTTGTGATGACATGTTTATCTGCCTCAGAAAGTGTAATACAGAGGTGTACACGATCGCTAATAGTATGTTAGCATTCGTTGGAATGGTGTTGCTATATGACTTGCTAAGTGATGCTAATGTATCTGGCTAATTCTATTGTATGCTGTTAAAATAAGCTAACCGCGAAATTAAATGAGTTTGTGAAGAGACTTGTAGTTGAGAATATTGAATAAGAGACATTGTGTGTGCTCGTCGAAGGACTTGGACCAGGAGACATTCCTTGGGTTTTTATTTTTAATCCTGTCGGGCGCATAACCTGGAGTTCAGCCACAGTACGTTCCCGCCACGACTGGTTGTCGATGCCGCCTGCCGACTGTGTGTTCCCACTCATCTCGTCAGACCAGCATTGTCGAATAACCGGTTCATCCAACCGACTGTCCATCGAGGTTGTGAGTAAAACTGTGCACATGCATTCATAATTTTATTTTGGCTTGCTTGACAAGTGAAAGGGTCACTCAGTTTGAGACCACAACGCACAGAAGCATCTACTCAGGTCTGCAAAGAGTTTTGTTTATTTCAAGCACTCTGTTTTAATTAGCAGAGTGAGTGTGTGTGGGCCCTATTTTATAGAATAAGTTGTATATACATTACATTTTTTCATTTGAATTTTAATTAAAGTCATGTTTTGTATTCAAAGTACAGTGTGTTTTATTTTGAGTATGTTAAGGTGTATTAAGTTTAAAAAGGAAGTGATAACTGGTTAAACCCTTTGGGTTAAAATTATTCCTAGTGGGTTAAATCCTTATAATTTATAAGTTTTTACTAAGTGGAGGCGCCATCATTTGTTTTGATTTAAGTACACGGTATATTTTAGTCACAGGTATGACGGTCAGCTATATTTGCCAAAGAACCCAGGTCAGAACTGGTGAAGCCTCTTGGATGAGGGGTGAAATGGTTTCCCATTGCCAGTGATGCTTTTCAGGCTCCTCCACACAGACAAGGGGTTGTTGGCTGAAACCTGGGCTTTCAGCTTTTCAGAGTAGCTCCTCTTTGCTGCTCTGATCTCCCTTGTCAGTGTGTTCCTGGCCTTGCTGTACAGAATCCTGTCCCCACTTCTGTAAGCTTCCTCTTTGGCACAATGAAGCTGCTTGAGTCTTACTGTGAACCCGGGCTTGTTGTTGTATGTGCAGAAGGTCTTGGTGGGCACACACACATCCTGACAAAAGCTGATATAAGATGTCCCAATGTCAGTGAATTCATCCAGGTCTGTAGCTGCAGTCTCAAATACACTCCAGTCTGTACATCCAAAGCAGCCCTGTAGCTTTGACTTAGTCTCCTCAGTCCAGCTCTTCACTGTTCAACACAATCTGATAATGAATTTTTGGTTTTGCACTATATATCATGAACAGGAGCATATTTAGTAGCACTACCAGTTCTTGTAGAGTGGTACAATTCTATCTACTGTGTTCCTGCCTTGATTTTATTGCAAAGAAGGGACAGTTAACAGTCTGGGAAAAATCTATAGTTGTAATGCCCCTGCACTATACGTACGGTGTAATTTTGTAATGGCAGTCCTAGATTGCACTGTAAGCCATTTCCTATGTGCTAAAATTTAGGACCAAATTCTCAAAATATTACTGCAGCTATAAACCTTGTCCACAAACCAGTCAGAACACTGGGTGGCCATTGTAAGGCCCATTTTTGAATGAAGTTCCATTTCCAGCCAAAGACTGTTTTTAGTTTTGCTGAATCGTCAAGAGTGATGCAGGAATGATTTTTACATTGTACAGATAGTTCTACAGTTTAGTAAGCATTAAATGCACAAACTAACATCTTTAAAAATTGATGTGGTACACTTTTACACAGTGTGGTTTAAGAGGTAGTGCAGAGGCCCTGCAGGCTGAGACACTGAACACCAAATTTACTGTGATATTTGCCTTGCATGGTAGCTGGCTGCCATCAGTGTAAAATTGTAATTTTTTTATTATTATTATTTTCTAGCCTTGTAGGAACCCTGTGACAGTACACAGTGACCTCTACATATTGTGCACACAGTCATCATGTATTTCTGTGTCTTACAGCAGGTATCTTCAGAAACATGTCCTCTCCAGAGATTGGCTTGCTCTCCTGGGGCAACATGAAGGTCAAGGGATGCGCCTCCAGCTACAAGGATTGTAAGGTCTGGCCTGTCCTCACTTAATAATAATATAATAATAATCACCTTTATTTGGCCAACTATGTTACACACACACACACACAAGGAATTTTTTTTCTGGTACAGAACCGAGGAAGCCATCTACGGCGCCAACTCACGCCGAAGGGACAACTTGGGGGTTCAGTGTCCCAAGGACACTTCGACATGGGGACTGCAGGCACTGAGATCCGACCCTCCGGTTGGGAGACGGCTGCTCTACCCACTGAACCACAGTCAAACCCCAGTTAATTAATTCAACCTCAATATCAAGAATTCCTGCTCATTAGTAGGGATGACTCGATACCAGTTTTTCACATCCGATACCGATACCACAAAATTTAGTATCTGCCGATACCGATTCCTGTCCGATACCAAGTAAATTGTTAATATATTTTGCAGTTAATGTAGCTGGCAGGTCGTACTCCGCAGCATATGCACACAAGAATCGTTTTTGTGCTAGAAGGCTCTGGATCATGTAATACGTACTGTTCCACCTTGTACGTACGTCTTACTGAAGATGCTTGGTCGGCATATTCTGTTCAACCTGAATGTCCTCTAAGCGTGAATATGCAAGTGGCTAGTGCTTGAAGTGACCCACGATTTTTCTGCCGACAGACACAGCATCACTTACGCTACGCTGCGCTAGCAGTCCCTTGTTTACAACAAGTTGCAAGTTATGTGCAAAGCACCCCAAACTAGCAACTCCAAGACGGTCCATTGCTTTGACCACGTTACTGGCATTATCTCGTAAAATGACATGAACCTTACTCTTCTCAATGTTCCATGCTTTTAACATTTCCTCTGTTGCTGCAGCG